AGAGAAAAATAGAAAAGGAACTGATTTAGAAAAACAGCAGAAATTGGCAATGAAATTGGATATGATAGAATTCGATCGGTAAGGTAAGATTGATTATGTATAAGTACAATAAAATATTATGCTAATCATACCGATATGTTAAATAAAATAATCACAACAAAAAATCATTAATATTTTAATACTTTAGGTATAAATCATACCGTTATGTCAAATAATTAATATTAATTACAATTCGTAAATAATGAATTTATGTATGATGGTATGATGATTTAGTCTTTTTCATTAACGTTAAATTTTTCCCTACCATTTTTTTCATTTAAATTAACCTTTTCTCTTTACACTTTTGCTTAATCATTTTATCAATGGAAGTTAATACATTAACTCGTAGACTCGAAATTGTAGAGCGCAGAATTACCTTAGAAGATAGGAAAATGCAACTCAAACAAAATGAAATTGATCTAAAGTTAAAAGAATTGCAGTTCAAAGGAATTGAATAACAAAATGTGAATATATTGTTGTGCAAAGTTATTATTTGCTACTTCAGCTTCTTTTTTAAAATTTCTAAAGGCAAACTTGCTCGACATTACTCAAGATGTATGTAACTAACTTACGACTTTAATAAATACAATTGTAATATGCAAATAAGTTCTAATTTGGTAAATGTAATAAAAATTTCGTTTTAAAAAAAAAAAAATAAAAAAATTCATTTCAAATAAGGGAAATATATTTTTTTTACTTTTGATTAATACCACGTACAAATATAATATTTATTACTAATTTTTACTAAAGACAATAATTAAAATTCTTCAAATGAACGTAAATGAATATTGAATATCATGTATATGGGTCAACGGGTCTGATATAATTTTAAAGTCTGATAAATATTAGCAATAGTTAGTTATATGTATTAATACTATAATTGATAAATGTACGTTAAACAATCATACCATAATAGATACACAATAACGTAACGTAACCATTTAAACAATACTGTAAAGCATTATTTAGCTAATTATTATCTAATAATCGATAAAAATTTAGAAAGAGATATATTCTGGTATCAAAAAGCGGCTGGAAATGATAATAATTGGTATCAAGCTGCTGAAAACGATCTTAAATTTGCATTTTACAAATTTACGAATTAGGAAAAAGTAAAGTGTAGGTAAGATTTTAATTGGGAGCATAGCATTTGAATTTTATAAGAAGAAGGCTAATCAAGGATGCTTAAAAGCTCTATATAAAGGAGGTTATTATTATGATAATGGAATTATTATTGATGTTGATAAGGAAAAAGCTTTAGAATTGTATAAAATAGCAGCTAAGGAAGGAAGGAATTGTAATGCACAAAATATCTGCATATTTATATGAACATGGCGAAGGAACAAACAAAAAATAGAATGATTGGTCGTAGAAATTAAGAAATGAATGTCAATAAGCAAAAGGATATTTAAATAAAGAATTTATTAATACATTCTTAAATGTTTATTTATGAATAATTTTAGATATTTTTATATATATTAAAGTTTATATTACGTGATAAACTATTACTCACATTTATTATACTAAAATTAATGCTGCATTTTACATTTTTATTGATTCCTATTAAACAATTATTAAAAGTAGTTTCTTGTAAGCATTTTTTTATAGTCTTCATCAAATTGCATATTTTGCGAACTTTTAATTTCTTGAAATAATATGCTAGGTTCTTCTGAATTGATAGTGGCGAATTGGTATTGCTAATAATGTATTAAATATTTTGATACGCCGATTTTTTTAAGTTTATAATTAAACTTTTATAGAACGATAATAATATAGTAAAACCAAAAATTAAATAATCTTACTAGTGATCGGACTCTCGTGACTCGTATATTAACATACTCAAATCTTGTGATCGAATCAAATAATCGAGTTTTACCAGAATATTATTTAATAAAATTTATAAAATTTTATAATCATTTAACATTTTAATTATTCACGACTTTTAAAAATTAAAAAAAAAATGTATTTTTATTAGGTACAGAACAATTATTTCGAATCCCTTATGTTTACGAGCAAGTTGTTTAAACTTGTCGGGTCATAATACGAAACTAGTAAATATCCAATATAACCAGTTCATTTTTCTGAAAAAATTAACAAACGAAGTACAACCTATGAGAATGAGGTGCTTTTGACTATCAACATTTTATCATTATTTTTAAACTTTTTTTGGATTTGAGATGTAAGTTTGGTATTGTTAGCTTTATTAATGGATTCCATAAATAAATTATCGAAATTTTTATTTCTGCGTTAAATGCTGTTTATATGGAACAGAAAACATCCCGATCACATTAATATTTATTATAGTTTGTAACCATTAGGAAAAAAAAATATTTTTTATTATTTTCAAAAAAATTATTGATTTAAAAAAAATTTAGTAATTATCACGAGGAAAAAAGAGTATAAAAAAATTAGTAATTATTACGAGGAAAAAATTTAAATCATCTCATCATCACAGATAGCTGAGGAAATTCTTAATCAGCCCCTTCTTGAATGGATTAGAGCTTGATACCTTCCTTCAAAAATATCAAATCGCATTGGAGGTGCAAGGGGCTCAGCATCGGTTTCATAGCACTAGCTGGTATAAAGATGTCAAAAAACTTGGACATCATTATTCGTGATTGGCGAAAACGAATTATTTGTCAAGTTAATGGAATTTCCTACTTGACGATGAAAACCCAGAAATTGTTATCCACAAAAGAATACAAAAAAATTAAGAGTTTCGTATAGTCAATACATAATATAATGTATAGTTTAATATCTAACCGCAGACAAATGTTTAATATATACTGAATGTTATAAAATATATGCTTCTTTTTATTCATCTCAATAGTAACTGTGAAGGCATAAAAGTAAACCATCACGTTTTTATAATGCTATCAAACTTTAATATGTAAAATACACAGAAATAAAACAGAGATGTCAATGATTAGATGCAAAAATATTCTCATTCCATAAAGACTGATGTAGAAATTTATGTTGAAAAAAACTCAGACGCCAACGTCCCCACCACCGTATAGAAAAAAACATCTTAAATTGTTCCAATCTTGTTCTTTAGATTCTGTTAGTCATAAAAATGTGCAATCAGTTAAACTGTTGTATATCATACCGAGCATTCAACCTATGTTTGAAATATTTATCATGTCAAAGCGGATATTCATCAAAGAAATAACTTTTTAATTTTCGCATTTCATCTTTTGAGGTAACTAAAGTTCGCCAAATGTTTATAAATGCCTCGTTTTTATATACCGCAAGTCGCACAATTTGATTTAAATGTTCTTTATTTTCTGACTAAAGTTTATTTACTATGTTTAGAGCGAAATCAATTAACTCTCCGAGTTCTTCATCGGACATATGTCTCTTTCTCTCTTGGAATTCATCCTCATTGTTTTCATGTTTTCTCTTCATTGGTAAAGCATATTGTTCCGCGAGTTCAGAACTCAGATTCCGTTTTATTATCAACAATGACTCAAATGCATCTTCGTCACCTATTATATTTCAATAAATAACACATAAATATTTAAATTACTGTATAAATGATCTATTATAAAACTTACCAAGACATTCAACTAATTCTAATGCCAAGGTTGAAAGCCTTTGCAATTTTTCATCGTTCCATTTTCCTACTGATTTTGTTATTCCGTGCGCATGGTGGTTCCTTGCTTCAATTTTAAAAGATTAAGAATATCTAACGGTTTTAATTTATACTCGCCACAAAATAACGTTTGGTCGGAATGAGGAATAATAAACAAAGAAATATGTTCTGTAATGAAGTTTAATAGACACAATATATGGGGTGAGTGCTGGGAAAAGGGACCAAATCGTAGAAATAAATTTTTGAAAAAAATTTCAATTTGGTCCTTTTTCTCAGCACTCATATCTGCATCCGAAAAATCAATATTTCGTGGAGGATTGCATTTATGTGCGAATTCTTTTACTGTGTCGGAAGCCGATTCTTTGCAACAAATTTAAAAAGCACTTTCTCGACGTGTTCTAATATTGGTTCCACATATGAACCTTATTTGGATGCCGAGAATGAAAACTTATGCGGAACTCGTGATGATAAGTTGACCCTTCTTTTCTTCTTTTACTTTCTACTCATTTAGTGAATTTGTTTCCTGAGATTCTTTAATATTTGTAGAAAATTCATGTTGTTCACTTGCGATATTGTTTGAATTTTGCGTTTGTATTGAATTTGCTCCATAAGAGATATTTTACTGAACAACACGAGCCTTTTTGAACATAGCTTGGAGTTTTTTATCAACAATATGTAAAATTTCACTTTCTCAGTATTATTAACTTTAAACCACGTATTTAGAGATTCGTATTCTATACATACGGCTTCGTCATTTTTCATCAAAGCTCGTAATGTATCAAGGCCTGACTTTTATTTTTTTTCACGGGAGGTTTTAGCTTAAGCAGATGTTCGATAGTTGTTTCTAATGATTCTTTAACGTTAAGCCAGTTTGATAATTTAGTCATTGTAAAAAATATTGCGCGAACTTCGAACGCGACAATTCTTGGCACGTAATTTTATACAAGATCTCGGGTGACTATCAGAAGAAATCTGATTGGTGCATCTAAAATTATCCCTTAAACGGATTAAACGGATTGAAAATGGGTCTAGATTATCATCTCAGCTTACATCTATTGTTTCTAGAATCTCCTACTTTTCTAACAATTTAAGGGTTAAGAAAAATTTTTATATCATTTTTTGGGCTCTTTAGTACTTTGGCATAATGCAATTTTCCTTTCCGTGAAGCCGAGAAACGCTCTTCGTGTTTTGGTAGGTGGGTAAAACTGAGTAACGCTTCTAGCGTTTATTCGGTGTTGAGAAGCCGAGAACATTTCTATGTTTCAGTAGGTGTATCATGAAACCGAAAAAATACGCTCTGTATATTTCGTAGGTGGAAAAAGACGAAACCGAAGCCAAAAAAAAAAAACGCTGTTTTCGTAGGTGGAAATAGTAGTATTGGATCTTACATTATCCAAATGTACTATTTTTGACCTGACAAATACAACTTCACGCCTCATCAAGATAAAGTTAGTGACCAAATCAGTATTAAAGAGGAACTTGAAAAGGGGTATTTATTGTTTCAAATAAAATATAAGATACATATAGTGAAAATTGCAATTTTATTAATATATATTTTTTAGAGAATTAGATATTTGGCCGGCCAAAATAACAATGGATAAAAGTATCCACACCAGCTGTCATTATTTTTTATTATCTAAAATTATATTAATACCGATACTTAAAAAATTATTGTTTCTACTGCCACTACTAATAATGGGGAATTATCTTTTTTCTGATTTCTTTTCTACCTAAGTCTCGATTTTATCTAACGATGTTCTTTGTGGAGATTTTTGGTGCCGATGAAATTTTGCTGAGAAACGGCTCTTGACTTAGCAATTATAGTATATCGATATAGTTACTTTTTTGATTCAATTTTTATCATTTATTATAATTTAATTGAAAATTATTAATGTATAAACATTTTGTTACATATCCTCCTTTGGTATATAGGATGCTTATCGTTATTCTTGCTTATACGAATATTTGCTTCAGATTCTGAACTGGACGAAGAATTTAAGCTTGAATCGAAAGTATTATAATTATAAGTTGCAAATATAGTAACTCCAGCTAAGCAGAGATCCAAATCGACTATGATGATGTATATTTTGATGACGAATTCGATCATGATTCCCAGGGGAAAGAAACGAATAAAAACGCTTCGCAATCAGATAAGGTAGATGACGATAGTGACTGTAATCACGACAATGATCCTGAAGAAGATGAATTGGATGATGATGAATATGATGGATACGGTGGATATAATGAATATGATGAACATGATAGAAGTTATTATTATCGTGACGGAAGATATAAAAGAAAAGTCTCACCAATATTAGGGAGGTTGGAATCGATTCTAAAAAGTAGAATCGATTAAAGAATCAATTAATCACGATTAATCACATCTCGAGTTTCGATTAAAAGATTCGATTTTCGATTTCGATTAATCGATTTAATCGAATTTATTTTTGCAAAAATAATTATTTTTAGGGTTTTGTAATTTATCGCCAGTGCGATTTATAATAATTTTATCGCCAGTGTGATAAATAAAGGTAACAAAAAGGATTTTGTCCATCAAAAAAAAAACTGTCCCTGAAATACGTTGTGACTGAAATTGAACTTCAGATAGAATCTGAATTTCAGTCATGGGGCCGTTTGAAATTGAGACATCTGAAATTGAACTTCATATAGAATCGAATTTCAGTCACAAGACCGTCTGAAATTAAGACATCTGAAATTGAACTTCAGATAGAATCTGAATTTCAGTCATGAGACCGTTTGAAATTAAGACATCTGAAATTGAACTTCAGATAGATTTTGAATTTCGATCATAAGTTTGTCTGAAATTAGGATATCTGAAATTAAATTTCAAATAATAAAATAATACATGTTTTTTTTGAAATATAATTATTTTTTAATAAATAAATATAATAATATTTTTTTTTTAATAAAATGTATATAATATAATTATAATATAATTTTATAATTAACAATTATTTGTAAATATTTTAGATTTTTTTTATTTTTTTTTTATATTATTTTTTAAATTCTTTTTTTTTTTACTAAATTCAATATCATTATAAACTTTTTTTTTTTATTTTATTATTTTTTTTAATATAATTATTAATTTTATAATTTTTTTTTTTTTTAGATCAAAATTCTAAAATTAAGTATATAATTTTTTATTTT